CACACGGTTGACCCACCATACTCTGTGAAGAACTCCCGGTCCACATTCTATTCATTTGGCATCCAAGCCACAGCCCCAAATGGGTGAACCCTCTAAATATCAGAGGTACTCCAGACAAAAGATACCTACTTTCAACCATGGTCTTCTAAGTACCCAAGAAAAAGACACGGTTCTCTTGGAGGTGGCCATCGTCTGCGTCAGTTGCTCATCACCCGTCATCTGCTTCCAGACAACAGGCTTGATGGATGGGTCAAGATCCATGTTTAACCACTCAAGTGCCAGCCCATACCCTCCCTTTGGAGACCAGCTTGAATCCCGCCCTCCACCCCCAATTAGGCTTGGACTTCTATAACTGACAGATGAGTGCTGGACATTGTCTGCCATGGCTAAGTCTTGCAATTTCAGTTCTTTTCCCCACTCCCATTCCCTGTCCCTCTTCAGGGTCCCTTCAGCTAAGGAAGAAGTAGCTTCTGTGCTTTGCCTAGGAGCTATAGAGTGGATACCTCTTGGAGTAACAGGGAAGATGCTTCTACTGATAGTTCCTAGATCTGAGATAGGATGAAGATCCCCTTTTTCTCCAGGATAAGGAAGACTTAACAAATGTATATGCCGTCTCCCATTCAGGATGGTAATACTTGCTTCCATCATCTCTTTCTTTTCAAGCTCAAGACAAGTTTCTTGTGTATGCATTTCTACCAATTCCTTTTTTTCTCAGATCAATTTGCAAAAATTGGACAGGATGCAGCCATTACTCATTCTGACAACTCCATATTAGCAGACACAATTCTGGCTAACACATCTCCTCAAGATGTCTATTGATCCTTCCATACCACTTCCAGATTTTACAGGGATACTATCACAGAATGAGGGTCAGATGTTTCATCCAGACCCAAGGTCATGGTAGCTGACTGTGGATGTTGGCTGATTGAGCGTTACTGATGGACTGCTGCTTAAAAATACAAGAGAACTTCCTGCAAAGGCAAAAACTCTCCATTGTACCTCTAAATAGAAATGATTTTCAACTTGGTCAGCCTAACACAACCATGACACACTGAAGGCCCATTATACCAAAAGATCCCCTACCACATTCTAGATTTAAAACACTCTGGACTTCTTAGTTCTGCCTAAGTCCACCTTGCAGCAATCTCAGCAATAATAAATGCTCACCGATCAGAGAAGCCCTTCTTATGTGCAATCTTAATATTGCCCTTACAAGCCACCTGGAACCCCCTTTGGACCTCTCTGAATGCTCTCTATACCACTTTATTCTCAAAGTGGCTGCCTTAGTTGCCATTACATCATCCAGAAGGATCAGTGAACTCCAACCTCTTTACCATAACATTCCATAGAGATAAGGGGGTGTTAAAACTTTACCCAAGTTTATTCCTTATATTGATTCAAACGAAAATCTGGCACAGTCTATTAGTTTATCCCCTTCCACCCTCCCCAACCCCAGTTCTCTTTGGGAGCGAAGAAATTCCCCACCGTGGACCCTTGCTTCAAGGGTCTTGGTATGTTATCTCAATAGGACATAGGTAAGGTTGCGAGTCTGTCACAGAAGTCATGGATTCTGTGACTTTCCAGGACCTCCGTGCCAGACTTGCAACCAGCAGGTGCGACTGACCCCAGGGCCACCAGAGCAGTTTGCGGGGGACTGCACCGGCCCCTCCCTGTAGCAGCAGTGGCCGCGGTTGGGGCCATCCCCTGCCAGCAGCGTCGGTAGCGGTCCCATGCCGCCCCTCCAGCATCAGCAGGCACCCCAGAGGGCCTGCCCCCTGGAGGCCCCTCTTCAGAGCAGCATCTGCGGCCCTGGGGGCTCCTCTCGAAAGCAGCAGCTGTGCACCTGGAGCCCCCTAGAACACCAGAAATTTAGTTGGGTATATAGTACAAGTCATGGACAGGTCATGGGGCCGTGAATTTTTGTTTATTGTCCAGGACTTTTACTAAAAATGCCCATGACTAAATCTTAGCCTTAGACATAGCCTATGTCTATGCAGCAAAAGCTGTGCGTTGGCTAGCCTATCCAAAGTAGCTTGACTCAAGCTAGCACAAGTAATGCTAGCAGTGAAGACAGCACAGGCTTCAGCATGGATAGTATAAGTCTAGCATGAACCTTGAGTACATTCTCGGCTCACTAGTCTGTACTGTGCTGACTTTGCTGCTGCTGTTACCCATGTCAGCTGGATTCACGCTAGCTCAGGTTGGCTAGCCTGTGCACAGTTTTTGCTGTATAGATATAACTAAAGCCTTTCAGACACACTCCATCTTTTGGTTGCCACCTCTGGTGCTTCAAAGGGTCAAGCCGTTTCCTCCCACAGAAGAGTAAAATTGATTTCATAGTGTATTTCAATCTGCTGTCATCTGTCAGCTACATCTCTTCCTCCAAATATTAAAGCTCACTCCACTAGAGCACAGGCTGCCTTTTCTGTATACTTTAGGAACATCGCTCTGTCTGAAATTTGCAAGGCAGCTCTGTGAAGTTAATTCCCTTACTTTGTCAAACACTATGCTCTTGGCGTGGCTGCAAGATCAGATGTCAGATTTCATCAAGCAGTGTTACAGTCGCTATCCAGTCAATGTCAATCAGGTCTTCTCACTCTGACTTTCCAGACTGGACACTGCTTGTTAGTTACCTAGAGTGGGATCCACATGTGCACATACTTGAAGAAAGAACAGTTATTTAATCTTTATAGTAAGTGTGATTTTTTTTTTTTGGGATGTTGTCGTCCATATGGATCCCCTGACCTTCCCTTTACCCTGCTTTTTCAGAGTCCTCTGGGATTCTGAATTAGTCAGGGAACGAAGGTATGGTTATGCCTGCTCTGCCTGTTATGCCCTCGGCGGGAGGGCACAGGGCATATGTGGCACAGGTATGGCTCAACTGACACTGTTGTTCAAAAGCTTTGATCTCATGGACATGGATGTATCCACATCTAAAGTGGGATCCGCATGGATTACAACATCTCGAAGAACCATATTTACAGGTAGGTAATTGTTCTTCACCTGGAGATAGACTATTTTATGTCAAATAACTTTTAAAGTCTGTTAACATCAAAAATAAAATGCAAGTGGTGGGTATTTTTTTATGGGAGACACAAAGTTGCTGAAGATTTAAAATCAATTAGATAGTTTCTCTAAAATTTAAACTGAGTACAGTTTGTGGATGAAGCTGTCTGATTTAAAATGGGGGTGGCATGTCAGAAGGGGGCTCTGATGGGATCCTTGGGGTGCAACCTTGGACTGTGGGACCACTGTGTCCCCTTAACTCACTATTCTGGGTTGTCTCTCACAATGCTTTGCTAGTGACAAGCAGCAAACTCCTCCAGGCTCTATCACGCAGCACACCTGCATGTGGAGCCCCCACACCCAGCTAGATTGCATGAATGCTCCCAGAGCCGCTCATGAATCACGCAGAGTAAGGCAAATTCTCTTCCTCCCCTACCCCCGCCCCGGGCTGCCGCTCCCAGCCTTGTACTTCAGGAATATACCCGTCTTGCACTGCTCAAGACCCTTTCTTGAGCAAAGCAAGTTTATTAATTGGTTCACCACTTCATCAGTGGAAAGTGGATATACACCTGCCTTTGCAAACTTGAGCAGATTTACCAAGCTCTTCAGGCAAACTCACTGGTGAAGAAAAACAGTAAAACAAATTTTTGATTACAAAATATGTATTTTTAAGTGATTATAAGTGATAGGCAAAAAATAAAATAAAATATATGCATGCAGGCTAGACTCTCAACCCTATTAGACTGGGCAACATCTAGGTTAAGCAGTTTTTCTCACCCTACTGGATATTGCAGTTTCACCCTTGAAACCTGGGCCAGACTCCTCTGTTAGTCTTCAGTCTTCTCAGTGCCTTTGTTGCTTGCAGCATAAGTGGGGGAAGGAGAAAGGCCAAACATGTGGCCACCCTGTTCTGTTTTATACCCTTAGTCCATGTGCTTGGAGAATACAAGTCCAGGCATGTCTGGTGGGCATTGCTGAGTCACAAGGTGAAGCAGTACCCCCTGTGTGTCTCCTGTGAGGGAGTCATTGTATTGTAAGGTTTCAGAGTAGCAGCCGTGTTAGTCTGTATTTGCAAAAAGAAAAGGAGTACTTGTGGCACCTTAGAGACTAACCAAGTTATTTGAGCATAAGCTTTCGTGAGCTACAGCTCACTTCATCGGATGCATTCAGTGGAAAATACAGTGAGAAGATTTATATACACACCGAACATGAAAAAATGGGTGTTTATCATGCACACTGTAAGGAAAGTGATCACTTAAGTGATTTTCTTCATGTTCTGTGTGTATATAAATCTCCTCACTGTATTTTCCACTGAATGCATCCGATGAAGTGAGCTGTAGCTCACGAAAGCTTATGCTCAAATAAATTGGTTAGTCTCTAAGGTGCCACAAGTACTCCTTTTCTTTTTATTGTATTGTAACTCCTCTGCTGGACAATGACTGGTGATATACGTTCAGTACCCACCTGGGCATTGGTTACCTCCCTTGTCGTTGTCTCTGGAGAGCTAGTATCTGTGCACTTCCCAAACCCACAGCATATTTTAGTGAAAACCATACAAGACCATTCTTATAATTTTATATGCATTAATGATACACATATTTAGATAGAACAATGGCTTTCAGCAGATCATAACGTTTGCAAGGGTTGATACCTGACATGGCATGCTTCATATGAAATATCACAATTATATATGTGGTGAATATGGGGTTTACAGGGCGCTCCCCCAATGTATAGAGTGTCACAGGGGCATACAGTGTGTCTGTGTAAAGTTACACCATTTGAGTAGCAAGGTAAAATTGTTCGCTGACTCTAACGAGAGGGGTCATATTTGTTCCTAGAAAACAAAATGGCACCTGATCCACTTTTCACTTTTGAAGAGCTAATACTGTTTATGCGTTAGCTTGTGGGTTTGTTGTTGGTTTTTGAAAAGATGATCTCTCTGTCTGATTCTTTGCATACAGTATATACTTACAAGTCCTTTCCTAAACTTTCAGGTTGTCCGTCAGATGATGTGGCTGATGGATCATATTTTTAAGTATACAAACTTTGGGATTGTATCGCTGATCCACGGAGACTTCTTTATAAAACAGGTAAACAATAGACGTATGGTAGTGCCTTGATTTATCCTTGTAGTCAGTGCTCTGTTTTCTGTTAAGTTTTCTAGATCCAGAATTTCAGTGTGGTCTTCTAGGGTTTATTTGTGTAATTTCTGTAGTGGGGATTACAAGGTGAAATCCTTGTGCTGAAATGTACTTGCTAGAGATAGATCTAATATAAAATAAATTAAAATATTTTAATTCGTTTTTAGTAATTGTATTACTTAACATTTATATGATGATAGAGGCCTCAACCAGGAGGAGTCCCATTGTGCTAGGCCACGGTACAATTAGACAGTCTATTACAGTCTTTACTTCAGAGTTGACAATCTAACAGAGGTACATTGCCATAAATGTAGAATAATATAGTGCTGAATCAGGCCTGGAATACTGATAATGTGTAAACATCAGTGACTCTTGTTTGTTGGCTATATTATCCTAAAAGCTGACAGATAAATGCTTACTGAGATTTTCTGTATTACTTTTTTGTTTGTTAAATGCAGAGCAAACCATCCTCCAAGAATAAGAAAATGTAAAAAAGGTTTGGTAGCTAACATTGATCTGATTCCAGTTATGCAAAGTATGACATTCAATATACACACTTCTTCCCCTCCACCCGCCTTATTTATTTGTCTGGGTTAGGAAGGGGGCAGGCAGGTGTAGGGTAACTGGGATATTGTAACTTTGAGGAAAGAGGCTAATCTGTATTTAAAATGGAGTGACTGAGGATCTGTTTGAAAAAATATAAATTTCAGATCAGATTTTCAGTTAGGAGATTACAGGGGTGCCTATCAAATTACAGGCAAGATTACATAATAAAATAACCTCCAGTGGTGGGCCTACAGTGCTTTGTGGATGACCTTTGGTTACATGATAGTACTCTTTGTGCATCTGAGAGAAGAACTGAACCTGACACGTTTTAAAATATCGATCTTTCTTTCTATCGTATTTACTTACATTTAGCACACATACAAGACAAATACTGAGTTATGTATGCTAGAGGGCAGAGGCAGATTTGCTAATAGGTTATACATTTTTGGATGTTTTTGTTGCTCTTCCATCTACCTAATGTAACCAATGTATATCTGAAATTAAATTGAAAAATTATTAAGCTGCAAAAACAATGTTTACCCTTGTAAAAGGTTATGGTACTGCAGACCTCAAATTTTCATTAATTAGAGAAGTATGCTATCTGGAATCTGAGTACAAACAGTGAAAGAGAAATGTATCTTTTTCTTCTGTAATTGTTTTTCTGATGGGCATATACATCACTGGCATACAATATTTTTCATTGCAAAAGTAGCTACAAAAACCCCTATAGTCTTCTTTGAGCATTGATCATGGTATCATAATAAAAATGAACTCCCCTCCCTCCCTCTCATGAACAGGTTTACTTGCAGTAACTAGAGTATTTGTTTTTTTCAAAGGGGGTGACTAGTGCTCTTTTTTCACCTAATAACTGGCCTGCTATTAGTGTAAATTTCATTTTCTAACTTGTCTGCTCCTGGGATAGGAAGATGCATGGTGCCCTCAAGGAACTGTGACCCAATGGGTTTCTGTTACTCCCATGCTCTCCCTCCACAAAAGATCAAGACTATTGCTTGTGCTACAGAACTACTAGTCACCAGCTAGAAGAATGCAGATCCTAAAGCAACTGTCTAATCTTCGGTTTCAGAGTGGTAGCTGTGTTAGTCTGTATCAGCAAAAAGAATGAGGAATACTTGTGGCACCTTAGAGACTAACAAATTTATTTGAGCGTAAGCTTTCGTGGGCTAAAACCCACTTCATGGGATGCATGCAGTGGAAAATACAGTAGGAAGATATATACACACACAGAGAACATGAAAAAATGGGTGTTGCCATACACTAATGAGAGTGATCAATTAAGGTGAGCTATTATCAGCAGGAGAAAAAAACCTTTTGTAGTGATGATCAGGATGGCCAATTTCCAACAGTAGACAAGAAGGTGAGAGTTACGGGGCGGGAGGGAGAAATAAGCAAGGGGAAATAGTTTTACTTTGTGTAATGAGACATCCACTCCTAGTCTTTATTGAAGCCTAATTTAATGGTGTCCAGTTTGCAAATTAATTCCAATTCAGCAGTCTCTCGTTGGAGTATGTTTTTTGACTTTTTTTGTTGTAGTATTGTGACTTTTAGGTCTGTAATCGAGCGACCAGGGAGATTGAAGTGTTCTCAGACTGGTTTTTGAATGTTCTAATTCTTGACATCTGATTTGTGTCCATTTATTCTTTTACGTAGAGACTGTCCGGTTTGGCCAGTGTACATGGCAGAGGGGCATTGCTGGCACATGATGGCATATATCACATTGGTAGATGTGCAGGTGAACGAGCCTCTGATAGTGTGGGTGATGTTATTAGGCCCTGTGATGGTGTCCCCTGAATAGATATGTGGACAGAGTTGGCAATGGGCTTTGTTGCACGGATAGTTTCCTGGGTTAGTGTTTTTGTTGTGTAGTGTGTGGTTGCTGGAGAGTATTTGCTTCAGGTTGGGGGCTGTGTGTAAGCAAGGAGTGGCCTGTCTCCCAAGGTCTGTGAGAGTGAGGGATTGTCCTTCAGAATAAGTTGTAGATCCTTGATGATGCGCTGGAGAGGTTTTAGTTGGGGGCTGAAGGTGACGGCTAGTAGCGTTCTGTTGTTTTCTTTGTTGGGCCGTCCTGTAGTAGGTGACTTCTGGGTACTCCTCTGCTCTGTCAATCTGTTTCTTCGCTTCAGCAGGTGGGTATTGTAGTTGTAAGAATGCTTGATAGAGATTTTATAGGTGTTTGTCTGAGGGGTTGGAGCAAATGCGGTTATGTCATAGAACTTGGCTGTAGACAATGGATCGTGTGGTGTGGTCTGGATGAAAGCTGGAGGCATGTAGGTAAGCATAGTGGTCAGTAGGTTTCCGGTATAGGGTGGTGTATATGTGACCATCGCTTATTAGTACTGTAGTGTCCAGGAAGTGGATCTCTTGTGTGGACTGGTCCAGGCTGAGGTTGATGGTGGGATGGAAATTGTTGAAATCATGGTGGAATTCCTCCAGGGCTTCTTTTCCATGGGTCCAGATGATGAAGATGTCATCAATATAGAGCAAGTAGAGTAGGGGCGTTAAGGGACGAGAGCTAAGGAAGCGTTGTTCTAAGTCAGCCATAAAAATGTTGGCATACTGTGGGGCCATGCAGGTACCCATAGCAATGCTGCTGACTTGAAGGTATACATTGTCCCCAAATGTGAAATACATGTGGGTGAGGACAAAGTCACAAAGTTCAGCCACCAGGTTTGCCGTGACATTATTGGGGATACTGTTCCTGATGGCTTGTAGTCCATCTTTGTGTGGAATGTTGGTATAGAGGGCTTCTACATCCATAGTGGCCAGGATGGTGTTTTCTGGGAGATCACCAATGGATTGTAGTAACTGTAATCAAGCATCAAGAATTATAACATTCAAAAACCAGTTGGAGAACACTTCAATCTTCCTGGTCACTGAATTACAGACCTAAAAGTCGCAATATTACAACAAAAAAAGTCAAACAGACTCCAACGAGAGACTGCTGAATTGGAATTAATTTGCAAACTGGACACCATTAAATTAGGCTTCAGTAAAGAGTGGAAGTGGATGGGTCATTACACAAAGTAAAACTATTTCCTCATGCTTATTCCCCCCCTTACTGTTACTTTCACCTTCTTGTCAACTGTTGGAAATGGGCCATCTTGATTATCACTACAAAAAGTTTTTTTTCTCCTGCTGATAATAGCTCACCTTAAAGGATCACTCTCTTTATAGTGTGTATGGCAACACCCATTTTTTCATGGGGTGTGTGTGTGTGTATGTATGTATGTATGTATGTGTATCTTCCTACTGTATTTTCCACTGCATGCATCCCATGAATTGGGTTTTAGCCCACAAAAGCTTATGCTCAAATAAATTTGTTAGTCTCTAAGGTGCCACAAGTACTCCTTTTCTTTTTGTCTAATCATGGTTCAGCTGTCATTTTAATGGCCTATCAGAAAAAGAAGGGTGTGTTTCAAGGACTTTTGCTGCTTTGGTGGCCCTACCATCTGTTTACTTTCCTCTTCTTCTTAGCCACTCCTTAACTCTTTCAAATGGTCCTCCCCAAATCACAACTTTTTCAGGCTTTCTAGTATGATGGTATCTGAGAGCATCCAGTGCTTGCAGGGTGTTGTTTCATCCATATCCTTGAGGGGTTGGAAAGATCTGACTTCTAAAATATGAAGTTCCTTGAATGCAATTCACTTTTGTTACCAGACTCATATGGGCCCATGTAAACTTTATGGAGTGTGTGTAGGGGCTTGGCAAATTAGGAGATAATCAACTGCTGCATACTTCCTGACCAATGCAGTATTTAAGAAGCAATCTGGTGAGTGTATCTTTAAAGTACAGACAAGTTTGGAAGCTTGTGATTTCAAAATCTGTGCAGAAATGTCTTTATAATAAGTCACCTTTCTCCATCCCGCCCTGTCACCATGCCTCAGTGGGTCACAGCTGAGGACATCAGATTCAAGACAAACTGCTGAGAAATAGGGCAGATTCACCCCAAAACTGGTGGTTATTCTATCATACGATGTACCAAGACAGTAACAAAAGTAAATTTTTCTGTCTTACCACACTGGTTAACAACAAGTTAAAAATGCTGTCGCCTAAGGCATTCCAGCCCTTATTTCATAGGTGCCAACTCCGTGGGTGCTCCGGGGCTGGAGCACCCCTGGGGAAAAATTAGCAGGTGCTCTGCACCCACCGGCAGCCAAGCTCCCCCCTCCTCTCCTCCTCTCCCCCCCCCATAGCACCGTGTCCCCTCTCCTCCCCCTCCCTCCCAGCGCTTCCCGCCCCCCCCCCCCCTCCTCGCATGCCTAACAGCTGTTTGGCAGCACTTAGGACTTTCCCGGAGGGAAGGGGAGGAGTGGGGACGTGGCACGCTTAGGGGAAGAGGCAGGGCAGGGGTTGGGACTTGGAGGTAGATGGTGGAATAGGGGTGGGGACTTTTGGGGAACAAGTGGAATGGGGGTGGGGTGAGGGCGGTGTAGGGGCGGGAAGAGGCGTAGCTGGGGTGGGGGGGGGGGGGAGTTGAGCACCCACTGGGCAGAGGGGAAGTCTGCGCCTATGCCTTATTTCATCACCCAAACACTAGACTTTATTATTGAAAACCAATGTTATCAAACAAAGGATTCTTCTGATCTCAAGAGGACAGCCACATAGCCAGGTCAATATATAACTCGGCTCTTACCCAATAAATACGCAGTTGCCAGTCCTTTAGTAACTAAAACATAAAGGTTTATTTATAAGGGAAAAGAGGAAGAGAATTAAAATGGTTAATAGATCATGAACATACAATCATTGCAAATTTCTTATCTTAGGTTTGTAGCAGTGATGGAACAAACTGCTGGCTTGTAAAGTCTCAGGTAACTTCCAAAAGATTGGAAGGTCCTCAGTCCATAGTCAATATGTTCCTTTCAGTTGTAAATCCACAGTCCAGAGAATCAAAGCAGGAAAGAGGCAGCATGGAGATGATTCAAGGTTTTTTTTATACCCTCTGCCATTTGGATGGAATTTTACTGTCCCAAACAAAATACACAGCACAGGAAAAGTACAGGCAACAAGATGAAGTCCAGGGTCACATGAGCACATCACATGCCCTTCCATGGCTTGCTGACTCACAGGGACCAGCCATTGGCCACTTGGAGGCTAAGATGTCTGCAGGAAGAGCCATCTGGATGGAATGAGTTTCTTTTATGGCCTCATTGTGAGAGTTAATTGCCTTTAATGGGCCATGAACACACAGCTGTCTGGCTTGAGTGTACCTGGTGGGTGTTACCCCAGGAACAAACATATTTGGGGGGTGGGGGTGTGTGTGTGTATAGTATTGAGACTGTATTAATATATCAAAAAGTAGTAGTAAAGGGAAGAAGCACAGTCATTTTTTATTTACCACTTAAGGTTTAATAACTACCAGAGTCCCCAGACTAGCTACCTTAGTGCCAACTTTTTACCCTTCTAATATCTTGTTGTCCTGAGTAATGCTTTGTGTTAATGGTATAGTCTTTTTTTGGCACAAAAGGAATGACTCTTCTTAGATAGCTGCAAAGGTTAGCAAGGAATTTATTTAGAGCTGTTTACAAATCAGACTCTTGTCCTCTAAATAGAAGAGATAACAAAACATAATTTCAGAATCACACACCAAAAAATTAATCTGTGCCAGTAGCTGCCTACCTCTATAGAATGCCAGAATGTAGCTTGTGGTGCCTCTCTCTCATCTAACAGCAGTTTTGTTTAGAAACAATAATATGAATGTTTATGCTTGCTGGCCTGAATGCTTTTAGGGAATTCCTCCTAATTGAAATTTCTCATATAATCGCCATATTTTATATTATATAAATTAATTTCAGATTACTTATGATGATTCTTTTTAAGAAACGAACTCTTTTTTTCTTGGCAAACTTTTACTTTACTTAAAATGAATACCTCTAGTTTTTGTCTTATTTCTTCTTTCAGTTATCAAAAACCTACTTTATAAATGCTGAATGCTGGTACATATTGCAAACCTACTCTTTAAAACCATGACCAAGGGGGAAATGCCCTCATTTTACAGTGCAGTTCTAACCCTATTTAAAAATAGTGTCGTCTTACAGAGAAGATCTTTCCCTGGTGTATTCATTGTCATAACTGCTAGCTTTGGCAAACAAATAAGTAATACGTTCAGGTAGCCCAACTATGGGAGAATGGGAAGAGTTCTGTGTTTGGCTTGTATGCTATCAACAGAATTAAATTCTAGTCTCAGTTAAACCTTTGCAACCCTACTGAAGGAAAGAGACCAGTACTGAAGAACTTGTCCCATTCCTTTGTATTGAAGATAATGGGATTGCACAAGGGTGAATGCAGTGAGAGCAGAGTTTTGTCTTGCAACCACTTTATTATGAGTGGTGTTGTGTAAACCATCTTGACTTTGGATTCCCGTTGGGTTTGCAGTTGCAATAAAAACTTTTTTTTTTAACATGTAAACGTGGGCAAATTTGATCAGAGGACCGTTAACAGATAGTGGTCTGGGGTTCCATATTTATTATGTCATACGGAATCCTTTTTAACGGTATAACTGCACTTTAAAGATTACACTTAAAGAGAACTGGTCAGAATGGCAGTTTTGCGCTCACTTTTGAAAACCTCTCTTCGTCCATTATGAGGGTGGCATTGAGTTGACCATCCGTGGTTGCCTTTGGGAAAATAGTATTTATGTTGGCATTGAAGGTTTATTATGTAGCATTCTGAGAAAAAACAGAGTTTAAACATTATTTTAATTGATCAGTTTTTAGGATTTTTAAAAATCTGCTTAGATTTTAAGACTACTTAAAATATCGCTAACCTTTCTCTCCTCCCCCTCCCAGGGAAAAGCTCACCGTGACCAGCAGCTTGTGCTCCTAAAGGAGCATCTAGACAAACATTACAGGAGCCGTGACCGGAAGTGGATTGTACTGTTTCCAGAGGGCGGCTTTCTTAGGAAAAGGAGGGAAACAAGCCAGGCATTTGCCAAGAAAAACAATTTGCCATTTCTTACACATGTCACCCTGCCAAGACTGGGAGCAACACAAGTTATTCTGAAATCACTTGTAGCTCAGCAAGAAAATGGAACCCCAGCAGGTGGAGATGCGATGGTAGCAGGTAGGAATTTTTGTTATGAAATTTCAAAATAGCTATTGTTCAACGTGAATACATAGTTACTAAATAAAACTTCATGATGCTTTGAGTTAGAGGTCTTTTTCCAGCCAGATCACTACCTGAATGTGTGAAATCTTGTTCAAAATATGCTGAAAATTCTAATTATCGTAAGTATTGGTTGACTATAATATTTTTCAAAATTTCTTAGCATTTGCACTTTGGTTTCAGTCCTTTATTTTTGGAACTTGAAAGATATTTTTGGTTGTATTCTCTGACTTTCTGTTCTATTTAGATTTTTATACTCTGCACCCATCATAGTGGTATTGAATGACCAACCGGATGTATGGAGATTCACTCCACTAATTCCTTACTCAGAGATGAAACTATAGAGTCTGGTTTGGAATACGCAGACTAGTGGGTTCATGTGTGTCATAGATAATAGTACATAACATCTTTGGTATGTTGTATGCAAGTGGCCAATTTAAAATATTGTTAAGTAGGGAGTTTACAAGGGGCTTTAACAGATTGAAGAACCAAGATGCAGCAGCTCTGACACTCAGTATTCATGATGGAAGCCTGCTCAATATAGCGATCAGGAGGTGACTGGGAATCAGGACTTCTCTGTATAGTCATGGTTCTCTCTTCATATATAACTTTAAGTAGGATAATAGTAGCACTTCTGCAGCAAAATTGCTTCAAATCCTTCCATAGTGAATCATGCATGTTTAACTCTCATACCAAGTATCACACGATTCTAGAATCACCTAGCGGCTTTTAATTTTCATAGCGAACATCATGCATACCTAGAGGTGATTATAGAGGAAGCCTATACTCTGCAAACACGGAGATATAGGATCCATAAACATCACACTTTTACTGTTTACATTTATCAAAAACATGGCATCTTCCTTATCCCTAGAAAAAGAAAACTAGATAAGAGAGACAGGCCTGTAAATGGCTATGTTTTGAATAGCCATTAACAACCATCTTCTAAAAAAAGAGACTTTCTAGGTTGAAATAATCTTTCTGCCTTAAGATTCCTCTTCTGATACCATCTGTCTATTTCCTCTCTGTGCTGTATTCAGAAACTTGAATGCAGAGCTTTTGTTCCAGAATACATGGATCTGACCCTTATAAATGAGACTGCTTCATTGGTTCCCTCTGTTAATAACTGATTTATTGGAGTAGTTTCCTTCCTTCGACTTTGTGTCGGGGAACTGAGTAATAGAAAAAATAATCTCTCTTCTCTCCACCCCTCTTATATAAAAGATCTCAAACACCTCTCCCCCAATCCCTTTCTCCTTCCCTCCACTGGCTGCCTTTTAAGAGTCTGGCTTTTTTTCCTCCTATTTCTGATAATACCACAGATGTCATACTTGCAATTTCCCCCATTCCGATAGGGAGATGCATTATGGGAATTTTATTGCAACATGCAATGTAGGCAGTCTATTTTTCCTTCGTCAGTGTGTGTTCATGAGTTAAGAATTTTCCTTTTCCCACTGAAACTGTGCTTTCTTCTCCTCCAAGTATTCCCAGGAAATTTATATTATTATACTTTCCAATTTTCTCTCCTGGCTTTTATAACTTTTTATTGCAAAATTTATTATCTTATCATGTCATGTTTGTTTCATTTTGATCTTCGTTCAATGTTTTCTGCTTTAGCTCTACAGCTTTTACTGTATCCCGTACACTTTTGTGATTAAACTTTTCATTTTCAGTCTTGAGATGTGAAGGATTGTTTCATATCTCTTTTATGATGGAGCAGTTCTAAGAAATCAATAATACTACTACTTTTTGTCCTGAAGTGTTTGCATTGGAGAGGGAATAATGTGACCGTGTAACCCAGGGCCCTAGTGGTGGGGGTTGATAGTTGTGGCTTTAAATCTGTCTAGTCACTTAAGTTTTTTTTGCTTTTTGGCATTTTCAAACAGTCAGTGGGTTTAGATCTATCTTGACTATAATTATGGGATTTCCATCACTCATAGTAGAGGCAGTGGTTTTTTCCATATTGAAACTAGTGTTATGTGTAACTGTACCTAAAGAATTATACATCATAACTAAATTTGAGAGTAGGGATTCATCCTTTGCTTTATGAAAACCCGGCACATCAGTTATTGTTTTTTGTTTTTTTTTTGTTTTGTTTTGTTTTCAAAACAGTGTGGGGATTGGTCTTCAAGTATATATGCAAAAGGATATATTGAAATAGATAGAGAAGACTGGGAGCAAACCCTATTGATGAAAGTAACCTTGCCTACCTAGGAAATGGGAAGAGATGGCCTACTGATAGGGGTTGATTTTTATTTTGGAGATAGTAGAAGTGTTCTGATTAAAATGAATTGCAAGTTGAGCTGTGTGAATTGCATCCCTTAATACTTGGCGTTCTTCTCTCCAACTACGTACAGAATGGAGACAGAATCAATTCTCTGAGATGATCTAAAGGAAAACCAATTTTTATTTAACAAACAATGTTATGGGGGGAAAGAGCATTCGCCTATGCTAAACTTTCCTAAAAGAAATTACAAACTCTCTTCTTTGGAAAGTGTAAAACTACAACTGACCAAATGCTAATAAATAAGCAACAGAGAATAATCCACCAGTGGCAGGAGCGTGGACTAAATGACCTGTTAGGTGCACTCTATTTCTAGATTCTGTGAATAAAAGCTAGTAAGTGCTGCTTTATAACTTTGCTTACCAATGAGATATGCTTTTTTAGAACCGTGTTTTGTGGTATATGTAATTTAGTATGATTTCCCCCTCCCCCCCCCCCCCCCCCCCGGTGGCGGCTGATTTCACCCTCACTCCTTGGCCACAGACACAGTTATGAAAAGCAAAAATCCTTGTATTGGTACATTTCCCCACCTGCTGCTATGCATCAAAATAAACAAGAAGATAAGACACCTTCAAGGCTCCCTTGTGTGATGCTTAAAAATAATCATGAATGCAGAAAAACATTCTAATGTTGTCTTTAGAATGTAAGCTTTCTTTTAAGAAAAATGAGTGTATATCCATTTCCTTTGTTGAGAGCCATTTGAGAAGGACAATGTGCTGTTGTCCTTTCTACCCAGCTTTTTAGAAAAGACTTCATAGTTTTGCTTCTGCTGTTATACATTTGAACTCACTTGTCTCCCTAGAGACTTGGCAGATAATTCACTGCTCATTCTGGCCTCTTATAAGTTGTGATACAAGGTTAAAGATCTTACTAGGATTTTTTAATACGTTCATGTTTCTTACAGCTTTACAATCACATACATTACAACTAAAATAATGTATAACAGTGGACCGGAAAATCACTTGTGCAGTAAGGGCAATACCACAAAAATGGATAAACTTTCAGTCGCCATCTTACTAACATATAAGGGCTTAAGATCCCTAAAATTGAGACTAAACAAAATAGTAGAGGAATTTATCAGAAGGCTGTTTCACTACATTGAAACAGTCTTTTCACTCATGCTCTTTAAATTAAAAGTTTTGACTTTAAGTAAACATATCTATTTTATTACAGCTAGCTGAACCAAAAAAGACCACACATAACTCATCATCCCATGGCTAAAAAACAGCTCAGTACTTGCTTTCTAAAATAACCATCCACATCACTTTTGATTGTTTCTACTGCTTCTTATGAAATCTTTCAGACAACTCTGAGCATAACAAAAATGATCAGCTGTTAATTTTGAATACGGTTATTAAAGGAAACAATTATATATCAGCAAATGTTTGCCTTAATTTAAGTTCATCACTTGCAATTTCTATGAAGTGCTTTTAATACACACTTCGATTTGCAGGCAAGTTACTCTTAACAGTAGAATCACATAACTGGAGCTTCAATGCTAATATCATGGGTCTCAGCTGAATTAAACTTCAGCAAGGCATGCATCTAGCGTTTTGGGGTTTTTTTTGTTTTTTTTAAGACATTTATAGATAAGTATTTATGTGTGTGTGTCAGGTGAAAGCCTATTTCTAGTCTGATTTTGCAGCTCTTTGTTACTAAATGGGATTGGTTGGGGATAGTGACAGGTACTCCAGCTGAACTGTGAGGGTCGTCTTCTACCTCTGTTCTTGGTGATGATGGTTAGTCTTCCTGTTCCATCAGGCATGATGTCTTTGCTTGCTTCCTTCTTGGATCTGGTCAGGGGTTTTGTCTCGGGAAGCTTCACTGTTGGGAATGTCTTTATTTTATGACCTTTCAGACTTGGAGATGGCTCGCTGATGCTGTAAATCTATTCATTAGCTTACTCCCTAAATAGTGAGTTCTTAGATTAAATTGCCAGTTGTTAGGGGAAGCTTTGCAGATTCTCACTTCATGAGTTACCTGGTACTCTTTCCTCTGTTACTATAAGGTGGGTGCACAACTGGTTGGAAAACTACTCAGAGAGTAGTTATTAATGGTTGAGTCCAGCTGGAAAGGCATATTGAATGGGGTCCCAGAGGAATCTGTACTGGGTCCTGTTCTATTTGATACCTTAATAAACGATTAAGAAAATGGCATAGAGTGTACAAGTATAAAGTTTGTGGATGTTATCAAGCTGGTGTGGGGTGGAATCACAAGTGCTTTGGAGGGCAGGATTAGAATTAAAAGGGATCTTGATAAATTGGAGAAATGGTCTGAAATAACTAGCTGAAGTTCAATAAGGACAAATGTAAAATGCTGTATTTAGGAAGGGCAAATCCATTTCACAAATACAAAATTGGAAATTACTTTCTAGGAAGGAGTACTGCATAAAAAGGATCTGGGGATTATAGTGGATCACAAACTAAATTAGTCAACTATGTAATACTGTTTCAAAAAAAAAAAAGGTGTGTGTGGGGGGGGAAACATCATTCTGGGATGTATTAGCAGGAGTGTTTTAAGCAAGATGTGAGAAGTAATTCTTCCGCTCTACTCCACAGTCATGAGGCATCAGCTAGAGTACTGTGTCCAGTTCTGGGCACAACAGTTTGGCAAAAATGTGGACAAATTGGGGAAAGTTCAGTGGAGAGCAGTAAAAATGATTAAAGGTCTAGAA